AAGTGTAAATTCTGCTTGTTTTTCTGTGAAAAGAGCGGCCATTTGCTGAAACACTATAGATTAAAACATGAATGATACACAATAAGTACTCTGCTTCCATGTCTCTACACAGATTGTCTGTGTTCAATTAAATCATTCATTGCACTAAACGTGCATCTAACAAAAATCAACTCAGGTCAAGCTAAAGGTAGCCAGACTAGTGCATGTGATGATGCCTCATTGATATTTCACTGCCTACTTTGCAGTTTTGAGGAGCCCTGTACAGAATGCATTTTTGTCACATTTGCGACAACACCTCAAAAATCATGAATTGGTTCAGTGCCCATAAGAAATTTGCAATTTTATGAGCAATGCGTATTCAACATTTAATTCCCATAAATGCAGAGAACATGGAGCACTTGATCAGAAACATTTTAAACCTGAAATTCTCTTTTATGCTGTTCCTCCCAATGTAACTACAAGTAAGCAACAAAAGCCTTTGTGTCCTGATATTGTAGATGGACATTTGGAGGAAGATAAAGCTACAAATTAAAACCTTGATAATTTGCAGCAGCAACTGGAGCATAATTTTGCCTCACTATTTCTCAAAATGTTTCTGATTTAGCTTCACAAGGAAAAATGTAAAGAATTAATCAGATTTTACATCTGTCAGAGTCCATTGTCTATCATGCTGTTCAGCAAATTCTCCTTCAACATGGACTCAGTAATTTTGATGCATTAGTGAAGAACATAGTGACTACAGTAAAAGACAGCAACCCAATTTTGAATATGACAAAAGCTGGTGAACCTCTTTACACCATCAGCAAAAGAGTGTCATATTTTGAAAATGAATTTCCAATTGTAATGCCAGTGGAATACAAGCTTGATTTAGAAACAGTCTCGTATGTTCCAGTTCTACAAATGTTGCAAAAACTTCTGAACAGAACTGACATCCTAATTAAGGTACTTTGTAGTAATCTCTTAGTCTTACAGAGATGGTAGTCACTATCAAGAAAATTATTTTAACACAGAAGATTTTGCTTGGTATGTATGTTGATGAATTTAAGCTGGCTAATCCCCTTGGCACTTCAACAAAAAAACATAAAATGTCTGCTCTTTATTGGGTGCAAGCCAAGCTTCCTGCAAAAGATCACTTATCACTTCAATCAATTCAGTTAGCAATTTTGTGCAGAGCAAGCACTGTAAAACAGCACGGTTACACAGATGTCTTGCACCCATTTGTTCAAGACCTTGAAACTATACATTACAGTATACATTAAACAGTTTGGAGGATTGTGTAAAATGGGGAAGTGTACCTTACATGTCATCTGATAATCTAGGTGCTCATTCCTTGGATAGTTTACAGGTGAGCTTCAATGTTAAACACCCATGTTGATTTTGCTTTGTCAGGAGGAGTGAAATCCAAGAAAAACAGGTCCAGTTAGGAGTGTTCAAATTAAGGCCCCGTTTACACTAATGCGTTTTAGTTTGAAAACGCATAAGTTTTGCTACGGTTACGCCAACCGTCCACATTATGCCGGAGTTCTCAAGCGCCGAAAACGGAGCATTTCGAAAACGCTGGAGAGGCCGTTTTCATTCTGAAACGCTGCTGCTCCGTCTCAGTGTGAATGTTGGAAAACAGAGACATCTGAAAGCGAAGGCGGGGCTGAAGACATTCGCCTCTCTGATTGGGGCTTTTCCTCAATAATAAGTAGCCTAACACACACAGTTCAGTCCTGCATTCTCTCCGTGTAAGTTGACTTCGCAAGTTTGATCAAGGCTGCAGTCTCTTCTTCTCAGTTTGATATGGAAAAGCAGACTATACCGAGGACACGGGTAAATCTTCAAAGGGAACAGTGTACTTTATAACTTCATTCACATCACACTGGCTATGTTGTTTCACTATCTCAACAATAAAATGTAAACATGATTTAAGGAACTGCCTATTTTCATTTTAATATTAACAACTTAGACAGCAGAAATGTTGAGGCGTCGTGCTGCATGAGCGTCATCTTCACTGTGTGGATATTTATAACAAAACTGAGCCGATAACAACTGTCTCCTTTCAATTTCAGTCAAAATACGAAACACACCCTCTCTTTTGCTGAATATCAGTTTTAATAATCGATAATGGCCATTATAAAAGTATAACATACAACAAGTTTATACATTATAGGAAATAAAGGCAAGTGATCAGTCAATATACAGAATGGGCTACATGGTTACATTAATCATTAACTTATCTTTGCGCTTAGCCAAAACACGTTACCTGAGAACAAGTAATAGATTCCAATGACCAAAGTCAGGGAATATGTCGTCAGATAAAGACAACAAGATGAATGAAATATCCCGTTTAATAAATATAGTGAGATTAGATCCAGCGGGAGATGCTTGATGAGAAGTCCGACTAGCACAGCTCTCATCTGGGTAGATGGGCTGCAGCGCTTGCCCGAGAGTGTCTGTGTGGTCACGTGATAAGCGTTTTCAGCGTTTTGGTGTGGACGGAGAGCAGTTCAGAAATGCTGGGTAAAACGCAAGTGTGGATGCGGATCATTTTCATTCTAAAACGCCGTTTTAAAACTAAAACGCACTAGTGTAAATGGGGCCTAAGAACCAAAGAGGAACATGACAGGCAAGTGGCGGAAGTGTTATATGATGAAAGTTTGGTGAAGCAGTATGGTGTGAAGGGAGAGTGTGTTTTGAGAAAAACGATTTTCACACAGTTGGTGGTTTTGCACCCAACATAATGCACAAGCTCATGGAAGGTATCATCCCTGTAGGAATTTCCTTGTGCATTAATAATTTGGTTTCAAGGAAGTTAATTTCTCTGAATCGAGCAATCAAGCAGTTTCCCTATAAATTCTCTGACAGAGTTGATCAGCCTCAAATCATCCCAGCCACATTTGCCTCTAGAGGCAGCCTCAATAAATGCTGTATTATTGACTTATAACTACATGTATAATGTGCTTAATGATTGTACTTTCACACTTTGTGACTAGTTGATTTTTAATTACTAAATAAAGTACTGCATTATTTACCAACTGTTGTATTTAGGAGTAGTTGGTGGTTTTTAAGATCAATCAGAATGAGTAAGTAAACAATTAATAAACTATTGAAATCAACATTTATATATCCGATTATTCATGCATATACTAATAGTTAATGTGTATGTTAATAAATGCTTTATTAACTCAACTTCAGGCAGTTGTGTGACCTAATCTAAAGTGAGGACTATTTATGCTTTATAAATACCTTATAAATGATAATTAAAGGCTCAGTATCAAATGTAAAATAAAAATAAAACTACTGTAAAGCTTAAACATTGCTGAATAAAAGAAGTGTCAAAATATAACATAACATTAGATAAAACAACCACAGTATAATAAATTAACAATATAATAATTTAACAATAAAAGAGGATGCCCCGTTTAAACTGTACAGTAATTTTATTTTAGATAAAATTGCAAATATATATATATATTTTTTTTTCAATACAGTTTCATTTGTGTATCTTCAAATGAATAGAAATGAATAAAGTTGTTTACGTTCTTTTGTTCTGTTTAGAATAGAACTGACCCTTTAATTGTCATTTATAATGGATTTATAAAGCATAAATAGTCCTTACTTTAGATTAGGTCACAAAACTGGATGAAGTTGAGTTAATAAAGCATACAAACAAACAAACATACAAATTAACTATTAGTATATGCCTGAATAATAATAATTATAAATGTTGATTTAAATAGTTTATTAATCATTTACCAACTCATTGTTAATGATCTTAAAAACCACCAACTATGGTTAAATAACTGGTTTGTAAATAATACAATATTCATTTAATAAAGAAAAATAAATAGTTAACAAAGTATGAAAGTGCAATTATTAAGCACATTATAAATGTGCTTTTAAGTCAATAATACAGCATTTGTAGATGCAGTTACAAACAGCTTACTAGCGCCTATTAATGTAGAGTTAATGCTCAACAGATAATTCACTATTTGCTAATGCTTAATAAATGGTTCATAGTGTGTAGTTATTATAAAGTGTTAGCGAAAAAAATCCAGAGTGCACATTGTTAAATGATGGGGACATATGGCATTTTACCTAAGTGGTTTTATAATGGAGTTTTAAGAGATTTTTCTGCTTTGTTAAATTATTTCTACAGAACTAAAGTTTGCACAGTGTTCAATGTATTGTAATTAATTTATTATTAATTATGACGATTAAATATAATAATACTTTTTGTTTTATTCAATAACATGGTTAAAACATGTAATACATCTACATTAATGCGAAAGAAGGTAAATATCATCTTTAAAGTCATCATAGGTCTCAGCTCTCTGCGATATCTTTGCTTATCCTTGATTCACGATATCATATACACATACATACATACATACATGCATACATACATACATGCATATATATATATATATATATACATACATACATACATACATACATACATACATACATACATATATATATATATATATATATATATATATATATATATATATATACATACATACATATATACATATATATACATACATACATATATACATACATACATATATACATACATACATATATATATATACATTCATATATACATAGAGACTTTCTCAACACATTTCTAAACATAATAATTTTAATAACTCATTTCTAGTAAATGATAATTTTTTTTTTGCCATAATGACAGACACGTCTTTACAGCTTAAAGTGACATTTTAAGGCTTAACTAGGTTAATTAGGTTAACCAGGTTGGGGTAACTTATTGTATAACAATGATTTCTTCTGTAGAAGGGGCTAACAATTTTAACAATAAATCCATTTTTGAAATAAGGCGTTTACATCATGAAATGTGTAAAAAGTGAAGCACTGCGAATAACTCACACTTGCAATGTATTTCATAATTGTTATAAACCATTGGTTTCATTAAAGATTGTAATATTTTAATTGCCTACAATGCAGTTCTAACCAGAACACATTAAGATGTTAAATAAACATAACCATACCTTGCAGGTGGTATAAATTTTCGAGCCACGCCATCTTGTTTGTTCTCCAAAAAGGTCTCCTGAAATTACATAAAGAATTATTAGACAATTTAAATTAGATTAACAAAATTCAACATTATGTTTCTTACAATATCTTACAAAACTAGGAGGTTGATGGCATACTGGTGATGGTGTAAAGTGATGCTATACACTTTTGGAGGTGGTTGTTAGGGAGCTGCTAGAATAATAGATCATTTAGGTTAATGGTTGTAGCTTTAAAGCTACTAGCTGTTAGTCTGAAATTTTACTATAACTACAAAGTTCTGTCATAAAACTATTAGGTGCACAAGCTGATAGGTCATATCTAATCTTCGCTCACTAAATCAACTAAATGTTGCAGGTGATTTATTGCTGTTGCTTCAGAAGTTGTTTGCACTAGCAATTGCTAGCATAAGATAAAAGAACTTAAAATAAGTGACAATAATCTTTTACTTTATTCATGTGGAGTTGGTCTGCTTATTGTTTTAACAAAGTGTTCATATGCATCAAATCAAGCTCAATATAAACAACTTTTGTGTATCTAAAAAAACTCTATGTAATGTGTCAGAAACTACATCATGACATACTGTCCAATTTTTTAAAAAGTTGAGACAGATGACATTTTGTAGCTCAAGAAGTTGCTGATACTTGGATCATACAAACCAGAAAGATGGTGGCACGCACTGAGGAAGATGGCGGCGCGCACTGACACAGCGGCTCAGAGCTCTCCTTCTCAGTGACATGTTTGTTTGTTTTTATATGTCTGTTTAATTTTTTTTAACCTCAGCCGGTCAGGCGAAAATATTTTCCCAAAGAAGACCACCATCAATAGTCTAAATGACTACCGGCCAGTAGCCTTAACCCCTGTTGTTATGAAGTGTTTTGAGAAGCTGGTAAGAAGTCACATCCTCCAAAGACTTTCCCCACATTTGATGCCCACCAGTTTGCATATAGGGAAAATAGATCAACAGAGGATGCCATAGCTATAGCCCTTCACTCCAACTACCCTGACCCATCTAGAACAAAGACAGTTACGCCCGGATTCTCTTCATTGACTTCAGCTCTGCATTTAATACAATAAATCCAAAAAGACTGGTCTCTAAACTAAATTATCTCGGCTTTCCTTTCTCCATTTGCCTCTGGATTCAAGATTTCCTCAGTAACCGTTCACAGAGAGACAAGGTAGAACACCACGTCTCTTCAGCACTCAGCCTTAGCACAGGCTCCCCACAGGGATGTGTGCTGAGTCCCTGACTGTACACTCTTTATACACATGACTGCACTCCTTTCCATTCAAGTAATACTATCCTGAAGTTTGCAGATGATATTGCAGTGGTCGGGCTCATCACGGATGGAGATGAGACCGCATACAGAGATGAAGTAAACCGACTGGCTTTATGGTGCACTGATAATAACTTGGCCCTCAATACCTTAAAAACAAAGGAAATCATAGTAGATTTTAGGAGGAACAGACCAGATATTCTGCCCATACATATACATGGGGACTGTGTGGAGATTGTGAGTAATTTCAAGTATCTGGGCCTGCATCTGGATCAAAACATATCATGGAAAACCAACACTATTGCACTGGTCAAAAAGGCACAGCAGCGACTCCATTGTCTAAGGGTGTTAAAAAATAACAACTTGGCCCAAGAACTGTTAGTGTCCTTTTACAGATGCACTATTGAAAGTGTGCTGTCGTATTGCATCCCAGTGTGGTATGCCAGTTGCACTGCCCAGGAAAAAGCTGCTCTCCAAAGGTTGTCAATACAGCGCACAACATCATCGGCTGCACTCTTCCCTCCTTAGAGGAGTTGTTTAAGGCCCGCTGCTACAGCAAAGCATGCAGCATCCTGAAGGACTGGTCTCATCCAGCATACCACCTATTTCAAATGTTACCTTCGGGGAGACGATATAGAACCATAAAAGCCAAAACAAACAGACTAAAATAGTACATATCCAAGGGCTGTTGCAATAATGTATGGACATTAAATTGAGGGTTATTCTGGCCAAAATTATTTTAATCTTTTTAACTTGTTGCTAGGATATGCACTTGCCACTTTATACACTTGGACATTAAAATTGTATGCCTTTCTGGCTCACATTTTATTAACTTTTAAATTTGAAAAGCTGCTTGGAAATGCGCTTGCCACTTTATATGCACATCATACGCACTTTTAATATTGTATTGTAACTCTTTATTTGATTTGATCGTTTTTATCTCTTTTTAATTATTGTTGTTGTTTTAGATAAATAGGACTGCACTGAAGGGAAGAGAAAATGTAAATTTCATTGTATTTTGTACAATGACAATAAAGATTCTGATTCTGCTAAAAATGACATGATTAGGTATACACTGGTTTGTGCTTTCTTTATTGTCACTTTTTGCAAACTAAGACAATGAGTCATTTTTCGTATCTATACATACATTTTAACTTCTAATAAAAACTTACTGCCTAATTACGAAAAAGCGTGTGTATGCACATTTATTTGTTCTTAAACTTGTTCTTCTGTTGATAAATTTTGTGTGTTTGGCTCTGTTCAAAATTACTGTCCGACCGCACAAGGTTAGTAATTTGCATAAAACTTTATGCAACACCCCAAACCAGTTCTATATAAGGACTTTCCACAAAGTAGCAAAACATTATAAGACGACAAACTATGAATTGACAAAAGACCAAGTACCAAAATCAGCAAAAAAATTGATAAATAAAAATAAAAACACCAAAACAAAAACACTTAAAACAAAAGAAAAGAACTTTAACAGTAATGATGGTTTTAATGTTGGATGTGATACATGTTTTCAGTTTTGAAAACGTGTAAAACGCACCGCATGTATGAAGGTATATTTGGTGCGAAACTCCTAAGCAGCTGTAAAAGTGTTATTTGTAGTTGTAAAAAATAGCCACTCGTGTATCAGTAAATTTGTACTCGCAGAGCAAATTTGAAAATGTGTATCAGTAAATTTGTACTTGCACAGCAAATTTGCAAATGGGTAGGTTTTTTTGTCTCCAACAAACACAACGCAACATTTACACCTGCACAAATCCTTCAGTACAGGTGCACAAATCCCATCGGACGAATCACAAATGCAGAAACTCATCTGCTCATGTTCTTTGCTACTATTGTTGCAGTGAATATGGTGCAAAACACATTCACACACCTGCATCCAGAAATGTGAAGTCACAGACAAAACTTGCACATCTGTTGATTAGAATGTGTATCCGCACAAAGAGAGCTGAACGTGTGTAGAATGTTTGATTTATTTTTTTTCTAAGCACGAACACAAATATGTTCCTGCAACTGTTCAAATCTGACGCTTCGAATCTCAAGTAGTGTTTTTTACTTGCAAATCTACGTTTCGCTCTCTCGCTCTTCTGCACCAAACATCACTGTGACATTTGGTGCAAAAGTGACTTGTGTATCTGCCAACCAAAACGTGGGCTCTCAGAGAAATTCAGCCAATAGGGGATGGGGCGTGACGTCACCGCTCTAGTGCTGCGGAGGCTGAATTGAAACCGAAACCCCCTTTGCGAGATTCGCCGCATCTACTGTATAGCTGATTTGGGTTAAAAAAATGCCTGCTTAATTATATCATAGTAGGAGCAAACATGTCTTAAGAAAAGGAGTAAGTTTGAAAATTTAGTAACCATAAAAAAAGTACGCCAGGTGGATGCCTTTCTACTCCAGGAAGCCGCAGCATACGTTCAGCATACGGTTTAAAGAGGCTTTAAATTATAGTCTATTTTATTACGCTGTAAATGTTGATTATGTAATGTTACGGTCTCCAGTCAGCACATAAAGTACCGTTTCAAAAGTAAAAAAGATTATTATCAAATGTCTGACAGAAAAATGTGAAGTACTGCAGATCACAAGACTAAACAGCAGTGGCGGTTCTAGACCAGAGTAACTGGGGGGGCCGGCAGGGGCCACTTCTACTTTTAGGGGGCACACTTTAACATACATCACAAACTACTTAAACAATTATTGAGTCTTTTTTTATGCATCACTCTGCAGTCTTTATAAACATTCATTCATTCATTTTCTTTTCGGCTTAGTTCTTTTAATTAATCTGGGGTCGTCACAGCGGAATGAACTGCCAACTTATCCAGCATGTGTTTTACGCAGCGGATGACCTTCTAGCTGCACCCCATCACTGGGAAACACCCATACACTCATACACCACGGACATTTTAGCTTAACCAATTCGCCTATAGCACATGTTTTTAGACTGTGGGAAAACCGGACCATCCAGAGGAAACCCACGGCAACACGGGAAGAACATGCAAATTCCACACAGATATGCCAACTGACCCAGCCAGCACTCGAACCAGCGACCTTCTTGCTGTGAGGCATTTGTGCTACCCACTCCGCCACCGTGCTGCCCTGCCTTCAAAAATAAGCTAATTAAATAACTTAAACTCAAAGATAATCTTCCACTTTCATTTATTTGACAAGTAACTTTGTATTGTAGTATAACACATTTCTAACATTCAAATACAGCAAGGCACATTTTTACACCTGTAAACTTTAGACAGATGCAGTTAAAGTCAATTTTTTGCCCTCCCAATAATTTTAAATAATGTTTTCCAAGTGATCAGAATCAAACTAAGGAGATTTTCACAGTATTTCCTATAAAACACAAATAATTCATATGTAGTCATGATAAGTCTTATTTCATGTAGTTCATTTCTTAAATAAAAGCATTTAAAAAAAAAAACCTTCAGTCAGTGGTATTAGCTTCTTTAGGAAATAGTTACTGTATATTTTATTGATCATCTACATAACAAACAGTTATACAATAACTTGAGTAATTATTCCAACTTTCCTAGTTAACAACCAAATTAAGTCTTTAAATTACACATTAATCTGAATCAAAGACTAGAATAATTAAAGGGTCTTGCTAAATAACTAGTAAAATATCATGCACTGTCACCATGGGAAAGGTAAAAAGTAGTTATAAGAAAAAATGGCTAGTTAAACTATTATGTTTAAAAAACTAGTTGCAATAAATCATGTCTTGCTGACTCGTGCTTTATGT